TCAAGGGATGCCTGAATTCCATCATTTGTGCGAAAACAAACAAATTTGGGGGTTGCAAGTGGTTTTAGATTAGGTGCCATATGATGTTAGCCTTGTATAAAGAATGAGAGATTGGAAGAGGGCCACTGACCAGTGGACTTTGACTTACAGGGCGTGCCCACGCCTTGCGGAACTTTAAAAAAAAAAAAAAAAAAAACTGAAGAAGCCCTCGTGACCAGTGGACTAAGGGTTACAAGGCGTGCCCACGCCTTGCAAATAGCTCTATAAAAAAAAAAAAAATTTTGGCACTTGTACGGGGTGTACAGCAAATGGAAACTGCTTTATTAGTTAAACTCCTTCGATAAAGCACGGTGGTTACTGGGGAGTTTCGGACATTCTCTTGGCACTTCACCCCTATCTATACCTTCTTAACCCGCCTTTCACCTGAGCCCCATTACAACCCTATTAAAGTCCCTTTGATTTATGTGTTCGGTTCACTTTTAAGTGGTGGAGATGTGATAAATGTGCAAGCCTATGGTAATGACATTCCGTGATGTTGATTTGAGCGTTCCTAGTATTCTTATATATTCTTCAATTCGAATTACAACATGTCCGGTGTGTTCTACCTCTGGTGATATTGTCAGGGACCCTAGATGCTTGTATTAGTATGGACTACTGCATGACCTCTGCTCTCTTGGTTGTACTTCTGAGCTTCGAAATGCTTGAGGGCAAGCATTGTCTAGGTGTGGGGGGATTTGATAGAGCAGTTATTTGGCACATTTTGCAGTGTTATTTTGGTCTAATTTCGACTATTTACTATGCTAAGTACTGAGGTTTAACTCATATCTCACATTCGTATGAATTATAGGTGATCAGCATTAAAAATGATCTCGCGGGGTAGATTTCCAGAAGACTTGTCGTCCCAAGGCGTGACCACGCCTTGGAAGGTGGACGAAACCGAAAGACGGACCGTGGTCCATGTGGACCAGGCGCATGGGATCAAAACTCAAAAAGGGAAATGGCCTTTTGCAGAATCAATTGGAGGAGACGTTGCTTTCTTTGACTCTTCTTGGACTTATTGTGGGCGGCGGCTATAAAGAGGGATTCAGAAGAAAAAAAAGGGACCGAAGCTATTATTCTTTTTTTGGCTACTTTTTGTCAGACGGCTCCCTTCACTTTTGTTTCTTCTTGGCAGCAAATTAGATAGCTAGATTTACATCGAATCAAAAGACAGTAGCTTTAGTTTTCTTTTTCCCAGGCGCTAGACGTCGCTTGTCTCTTCTGACTTTCAACTTTTCCGTTGGATAATTCATTCGTAGCTTTCGGCTTTGTAATTGGGACTCCGACGAAAGGGACGAAGGCAGGGCCTTTTCGGTTGTTATTGCAGTTAATTTCCCTTTCCCAATTCCTTGGCAAATAATTGAATGAAGTCAATTAAACCACGCGGGATTGAAACGATGAGGAGCGGCTAATTTCCTCCTCTACCCAAAGGTTGATGCGAAGGCGCGGTCCATAATATCTGTGAGATCTAACCGAATCTTCATTATTTCCTCCGATTAATTGCTATTCGTGCATTTCCTGAATTAATTGTTCATGGGTATTTTATTAATTGAATATCAACGGCCGGGTATTTGATTTAATTTAATAGCCTACTGCCACGTTAATTAAATAGAATCCGTAATTGTTCATTTAGTTAACACCCCGTGGCAACCACCATAATTGGTTTTATGATGGGGAAATGCAGGATCTAACTTAAATAAACCCTCTTAGCGTGTTTACTGGTTAGGGAAGGGTTCTTCTAGCTTTAATGCAATTGGGTAATTAAATTCCTATGGTCGTACCTAGGGTTGTTATCTAGTTAGGGAAGCGGTCAATGGTCGTACCTTGACTGTCGAAAAGGTAAGGAAGAACTGGTTGTCAGAGCTTATTGATAACTATAACCAATCTAGTGATAAATGGATGAAATATCTTTGCATCGATGAGCATTTATTTGGACCGTGCCTGAGCAGTTGATCCTTTGGGTAGAATTTTTATCAATTACTATTTTTATTGAATTGCGCTTTGTGAGTTAGTTCTGAATTTGGTTTGCTTTATTTTTATTTTACTTTTATTCTATTTATTTGCCCCCATTGAAAATCCCTCAATTTCGTTCTACTAATTTGGAAAGAAATAATTTCCTACCTGCTCCCTGTGGAATCGACCTTACTTGCCATTGTACGCAAAATTAGTATTTTTATAGACAAATCCGGTATATCGGATCAAGCAAACTCTTCGGGAACAGGGTGAATCAAGTAACCCATTGCACACCTAGGGTCCCTGCTCCAGTACTTGGATTTGTTCTATAATTATTTAATTAAGGTGGTAATTAGGACTTTTTAGTAATTATTATTGCACAGGTTCGGCAGGACCTTTTTCCTTCAGATTGGCCTTAATCGCCAAGAAACCCTAAAATAACCAAAATAAACCAATTGAAGGTTTCACATCCATAATCGAGTAAACACAATGCACATGAGGCTCGACTACTAGTCGTATGCCTCGCCAAATAATTACTGATGCAAGGGTACAAAACATGATTTTTGGGAACAAAAGATAGCATAAAGACCTAGGTTCAACAACCCAAAAGCCCTTTTATTTCTACCAAAAGGCAAATCCAACTTAAAAGAACCAAACGGCCTAGAAAAACGGGCAGCACTTCCCCTAAATTTCTTAGCTTTTGCACACGCCATTAAGGCTTCATTCTTTCACTCGAATCAGTCCAACCATACTCTCACACAAAATTCACCTCATTTCCAAAAGCCATTCACTAGGCTCAAAGTAAAAGTTAATTAGGAAATGACCGGAATAAAAGCAAGCCCTAAAACATGTAAACAAGTACAATGAGACTCGATAACGAGTCATAAACCAATGCCAAACATGACCCCAATAGGGTTCCATATGCATATATAAGCATGATAGCAAACCAGAAAATCAGGAAATGTAACTATATTAGCCCTAACAACAAAACAGTTTTGGCCTCCTTATGCGGTAATGGCACAAAATGCGCTACGCTTATCGGATGAGGGTGTAAGACCCACCATCTCGAAGATAAAAGAAAGGGCTACAACAATGTAGAAGGCCACTCAGTCCAAAGCCTAGCACAACTAGGTCAAAAATGCAGAATACCAAACCAGAACCGTAATTGCAGGTTTACAAATCACACTATACTGTAATTAGTCCAACTCAGTCTATACAGGTCCAAATGCATTGATTCCAAAGGTATACGGTAGCCAAGACATCCAGCTACATTTCATCAGAAGACACCAACATCCAAATCCAAAACCATTCCAGTCAAAACAGACGATTACAAGCGCAGTTCGCACATTCTGATCAACCCAGAACAGCAACAGTAAAATCGACATATCTCACTCTACACTACTCCAAATGACCTGAAATTTTACAGGCACCTCAAACACATCAATACCTACAACTTTCATGTTTTAAGAAAAGGCCAATTCGGCATCTAACCATATGATACAAAACCGGACAGAAAAGGGGGTTATGAAACCCTAACTTCCTCAAATTCCTTCCAAACCCAAAATTGGTTGCAATTACCAATCATTTACACCTACTAGAGTCATACCCCTCATTACCAAACATCATAAATAACAACAAATCATGATCACATTAACCAGAAAATTCATCAATAAAATAAAAGCTTCACCAATTCATTTCAAACCAAGAAAACCCACAAATTTCACCTTTAGCCACCACTAGGACAAATTAAGCATCATTAGGTGTAGGAGGAAGTTCAAGCACACTTACCTAGTAAACAAGAGAAAAGGAGTTGTAGAACACCTTAGCTTCCTTGAACACTTCCACAAAAACACTTACTAGCACCAAAGGAAGGGATTTTATGGAGTAGAAACTAATTTAGGTGATTGGTTTTGGAAGATTGAGCTAAATGGAAGCTAAAATGTTGAAGAGTTTCTTTCTTCTTTGCTCAAGAGAGAACCGGCCATGGAGGAGAAGAAAGAATGAATTTTGGTTAATTTTTTTAGATATTTAACCAATTAGTCAAAAAGGTCAAAAGCCATGAATAGTTGTCTACAAGTGCCACCACTCACAAGGTGACACTTGTCACCTCCATAAATGCAACTCTATCCTTTTATTCCCTCTCACATCAATCACTTCTCAACCTCTACTCATCTCTTAACACCCGATAAATTTCCACCAGAATCCGAAATTTAACCTAATTGGCCGAACTTTTCCGAACTTTTCGCACTTGTGGGTCCCACGTCCATTATATACTCTTAATTTTTCAAAAACTCTCCAATACTAGAAAAATCATCTAAAAACTATAATTACTCATAAAATTTACCAGGAGAATTTTCCTAAGCCAGAAAATGCAAAAATTATGCCTTTAAATGGGAAAACCCTAAGAAAATTATTAGGGATTTACGGGTTCTCACAGTGAAAATATGGATGCCCCAAACACCTTTCCCTTTTGGATACTTATACCTCTAATTTCTCTTATTTGGTACCATGGTTCGAAGACTCGGCCGAGTCGTCACCGTTTCGGCTCTCGCCGATACGATACCGTGACGAAACGATGCCGAGATAGTCAACTCGCCGAGACATCACCGTGAAGGGTTGAAACAGTCGAGTCACACCGAATCACTCCGAGTCATTCCGAATCAACTCGAATTATTATTATTTTTACTAATTTTTAATTATTTTTGTTTATGATATTTTTTACAATTTTTAAAATATTAAATATTTCAAAAATTCGCGTCTAGCCGAAACTGCAATCGATATACCAAAACCGATGTGGAACGATCTAGGCCGCGACCGCAGCCGCAACCGCGACTTTGAACCATGTTTGTTACTGTATTCACGTTCTGATCTTACCAAATGCCAGTGAATGCAAGTCCAAGAAACTCCCTCCAGGGCCTTAACCATTTCCAATCATCGGTGACTTGCTGCAAATCAGTGGATTCTCCCCAATATCAGTTGTGAAACTCTCTCAAACTTATGGACCTTTGATGTCACTTAAATTCGGAAGTAGAAGAACAATAGTTGTATCATCACCAGAAATTGCCAAGGAAATGCTTCAAAAGCATGATCTAGAGTTCTCAGGCAGAGAAATCCGCGATGCAGCCAGAGCATTGGACCACCATAAGTTCTCAGTTTTCTGGTTACCAGCACAAAGCCAGTGGCGCAATCTTCGCAAACTATGCAAAGAGCGTATCTTTTCATCAGAAAGGCTCAATGCCAGTCAAGGGCTCCGCCAAGAAAAGGTGCAGCAACTGTGCAATTATGTACGCCAACATGGTCTCAAAGGACAGACCATAAATATTGGTGAAGCTGCCTTCTCAACATCTCTCGACTTGATGCGGAACACTTTCTTCTCCGTTGATTTTGCACAATTTGATTCTATATCTAACTCTAACACGTCTCGAGAGATAAAAGAAATGGTGTGGACTGCGCTCAAAACAGCTGCTAGTCCTAATCTCGTGGACTACTTTCCCGTCCTCAGTGCAATTGATCCACAGGGCATAAGGCGTACAGCCAAGTCATCTTACGGAAAATTGCTTGATATTATTGATGGTATCATTCGTCAGAGATCACAAGAAAGAAACACATCCAACACTTATCTCAGGAAAAATGACTTCTTGGAAACCCTCCTTGATCTTAATCAGCAAAATGAATCTGTATTGAGCTACATGGGCATGAAGCATTTGATTCTGGTGAGTAATATTAATGCACCTATACATTCAATGCATGCTTTATATATATAACTGGTCCTAAACTCCTAATATATCACTCCTGCATTATGAAAAGAAAAAAAAATCACCTGATGACCATAATTTGATTCCGACTCCACTCTATTTTAGGATTTATTAGTTGGAGGGACAGAAACAAGTTCAGTCACCGTGGAATGGGCAATGGCAGAGTTAATACGCAACCCTGAAAAAAAATCAAAAGCTAGGGATGAGATCATGGAAATCATTCCACAAAACGAGATGGTTCAAGAATCAGATATCTCAAATCTTCCTTACTTGCGATCGGTTATTAAAGAAACCTTTCGTCTTCACCCTCCTGCCCCATTCCTAGTTCACCAAGCTGAAAGTGACGCAGAAATCAATGGATATATGGTGCCAAAAAGTGCTGATTTACTGGTTAACGTGTGGGGTATTGGCAGGGATCCAAGCTTGTGGTCAGATCCTACTTCATTCGTGCCTGAACGTTTCATGGATACAGAAATTGATGTGAAAGGCCAGCATTTTGAGCTCCTTCCTTTTGGCTCGGGAAGAAGAATTTGTCCAGGACTACTGCTGGCTGATCGAATGGCGCACCTCATGGTGGCTGCTTTGCTTCATAAATTTGAATGGAAGCTTGAAGAAGGGATCAAACCAGAAGAACTTGACATGACCGAAAACTTTGAAGCTACAATAAACAAGGCAGTGCCTCTTAAGGCCATTGCCGTTTTGGAACCATAGTGCAATGGTTGTTTAGTAATCATCAGCAAAACTTGCCTTAATCATGAAACTCCAAATCAGGAGAGGAGTCAAATTTGCTTCACTTGTCACAGACAATCCAATTATTGAAATGCATAACTTGTTAAAGTTTAATACAGCAACGAAAAATGAAATCGCTCTATCAAAAATAGAAACAATGGCATCATCTAATAACGGTGAGAACCAAGGTTTTAAAACCCCAATCAAACTGTCCAGTCCAACTGGTTGAACCATTGTCCTGGTTGCTAACCGAGTTGGGTTGACGTTCAAACCTGAAAGGGTTTAAAAAACTGCTTTTAAATATTATGAAGCAGTTAACTCGTCCAGTATCCATTGAACAAGAAATGGCTCTTATTAAAGTAGTTCGGTTCTTGACGTTGAACATTTATGTCTGGTTCTTTCATGTAATCAAGTGATCTTAATCTAGTTGTCAGCATATTTAATGCAAGATGTACAACCGTGCATTTTTTGCCATTTTTTGTTTCTGAAACTATGCTTTAACTCTAAATCATTTAGAAGTTTCAATTGTCATATAATTTCATGTTTCTTATCTACAAAGTCATTTTTAAATTTGATCAATGAGGGATGATTTCTTTATTTTTTTGGTTAGAAGGAATTTGATTTTTAATTCAATACATTAACCAAGAAAGTATATAGAGGTCATTTTATTGGACTATATTATAGTTAAAGTAATATATTAATTATTTATGACGTAATTATAGTATCACGAGGCAATAATGATTAGACTAACGGTTGAACCAGTGACTTTTGATCCAATAATATTTTCCAATTCAATGAGCAGGATGCGTTTCAAAACTTTGGTAAGAACACAAAAGAATTGAAGTGCAAAATAAAAACAAAAATCTTGGAAGCTTTCAAAAGTATTAACAAAACAGCTTTGACATGATGACCATTGAACTCGAATTCAGATTCACCTGATAGAATATTGATTCCCATCAAGATGTCTACAAAGTCCTTGGTTTGCTTGTTCTCCGGGATCGAAGATGCTCACCAATGATTTTCTCAAGAAAATTATCAAACAACACCTTAGCAAGAGTTCCAAATGCCATCGCGCCTAAGGATGAAATTGCAGCGCTAAGATGAACAGCAGCACCATCAAAAGAAGCCTGTTTGAATGATTTTGTTCGAGTGATTTCACCAATACTCCAATGTCTTCTCTTGTTCTCGACACAATTGGATCGATCTTTTTGCTACAAAGTGAGTGTAAAATGCCAAGCTTACTAATGTTTCTCCAGTGCAGACCATATTGGCCAAAGGTCCAGCTCCTTTGCTCATGATCAATGTACCAAGAACTTTCACTATGGGGCTATTGGCGAAAGGTTGATCATTAGTCTTGAAGAACTTCTCAGCTGCTTCAGGGGATGAGACAATAATTGCTGGGACATAACCAAATCGCATGTGACAATAAAGGAGCAAGAAGTAGTTAATTTAACCGATAATTAGGAGACAAGAAATGAAACCAATCATATTACTGCTGAAATCGGAAGAAAATCTTAACGGGCCTTTATTATAAACTTTACGACAAATTTATCAACGCATGCTAAATTACACAAAAATCAAAGGCCTTCAGAAACTAAATATGAAGATTTTCGGCTATCTAAATGAGAGTAAAAGAGTAATTGCACCCATACTCACTGTTACAAAATGTATCTTACCCTAATCTATAAAGATTATCTTACCCATAAGGAAGCCGTATAATTTTTTTTTCCCTAGTGTAAGTGAGAGGTATCGAACTCGAAATCTCTCAGTTACATTTCCTCCCCCATCCCTTTCCTTAGCGGTTGAAATTTAAAGAAGAGTTTAACCAAAAAACTGACTTAATATTATAGTGTTGTAGAGGCCTCTAATTCATTCATGGCAATGCTTGTAGTTGTTGAGGTGTTTCGTTGTAATGTAAGGGCCCAACATGCACAATCAAGCCTAAACTAGTCAAAATAATGAGAAACAAAATTTGTGTCTGCAAACCATAAGGGATTAATGTATAGATCCAATTCACTAATAAGTAGGTACAATCGCCAACTTCAATTCATAGAGTAGGCACTATCTGTAAATTAATGCTACATGATCAAAAGCACTGAGGATCTTGATGGATGGATTGAACGATAAGGTAGGGAGCGCAAGTTAGAGATTACGAATTTAAAACCTTCCACTTACATTAAAAAAAAAGCACTAAGCATCTACCAACAAAATGCTATGTACCAAAAGAGTATCTAGCATAAAATTACTTTAACTTCACCCGTAGACAGATGTCTTCGTTTTCTTTTTGAATTTTGAAGTAATAAATTTACGATGATGTGTTAACATGGAACCAAATTCATTGACCATTCAATTTGCCCTTCTGATCAAGGGTGGCACAATACAAAGGCGTAGATTGTTAAGCTGGCATGGACACCACGTCTGAGAACTACTGGTCAAATGTAAGCACGTCTTCTAAAGATTCTGCTCATATACGTGGTTCCATAAACTCGAAAATCCCACGCCTTCACTCTCTAAATTAAGGAAACATTCAAGTCACAAGAAGTAGAGACCCTCCAAAGCCTGCTTGAGGGGAAAAAAAAAATTAGACTTAGTACAAGCTTAGTACAGGCTGTCCTTTATGCTGATATCGAAATATAATATGATATAATAATTGTGAAAAGGTCATGTGTAAGTGATTAAACCATATTTAGGTAGCAATAAAAATTAGACTTAGTTTGTACTAGAAGATAAATGCATAATTAAAGTACATGCGGATTATTGTGAAATGGAAAAAAAGAATTTGAATTGGACAAGACGACAACGTATATCATCGAAATGACTATTGTATCCTTATTTTGGTTTGAAAATTGAAGATCAGCTGACTTATTAATTTTTCATTGGACGTAGTTACTTTACTTACCATAAGTTTCTGTTTTTAAGAAAGTGACTGAATATTTGATGCTACTTCTTCCCAATTGCCATAGATGATTTTATGACTTGTTACTTTGATGCACTAGTTTCTTCTTTATTAGCCATACTAAGCATTTGATTGCAGGTTTTGGGGTGAAATATGGTTTATTCAAGATATGACTTCAGGTTTTCGGTTTTCAAATTTCTAAAATATATTTTATTCAAATCTCTCCTTGATTCATCTGATAACTTTTGGTTTTCTTTTTCTGAATATATGATCTTGACCTTAATTTCTTGCCCAAAAGTGACTTCTTGCCCTTCTCAACCCTTAGATTTTTCCTATTCTTCCTTGATTCAAGCTCCATTCCTGTAAATGTTTCAAACCAAGTGTTCTATTTAGTAGTTCGGTTAATGTTTATTGTAATTGTAGATTTTTAAGTAATTCAGAATGCAAAGATATAGTTCATTAATAAAAGAAGTAAGTTTTCATAATTTTAATTGGGTATATTTATCAAATAGGATAAAGGCTTCTTTCAAAGAGAGTTTTACTACAAATTTTCTCAATGAGGTATGTAATTCTGTATCTTGATTTATCATTTTACCAATCCATGCAATATCTTTTTCGTGAAGGCATATTATTTTGGTTTAGGGTCTGTTTGGTTGGAAGTAAAATGTTTTTCTTGGAAAAATATTTTCCGTGGAAGTAATTTTTCATGAAAATCATTTCATTTTCATCATTTTCAGGTGTTTGGTTAGCTTATTGAAAATATTTTCTTACTTCATTTTTCTGGTGTTTGTTTAACTTTTGAAATATTTTTACTTTTATCTCTATCTTTACTGTCGCGCCCCATTTTTTGATAAGAAAAATAAATTGTTTGAGAAAGATGTATTGTTTCAATTTTGATTGGAAAATGATTTTTGTGAGTTGAAAAGACATGGGTCTCAATGGGACTTTGGAAAGCGACGATTTGACCCAAAAAATAGTTTTAAAAAGGGTTTTGAAATGAAAAATTTGGAGTCGCCACTTGGTAATGATTTAAGGTGTACCAAGTCACCTAAAAATGAATTAAGTAATAATAAACCCTTTTTAAAACGACTCCTAGTCTACGTAAAACAAAGAAAAAGGTTCGGGAGTCACGTTTGACAAAGGGGAAGGCAAGGATAGACTCCAAAGCACCCCTTTGACCTAGCCAAGGCTAGTTGCGTAACTTAACCCTAACTTTCCTGACTTTCTACCCAGGGTATGTATTGCATGTTGGATTATGCCTATATGAATGCGAAAACGAAAAAAATGCAATCCTAATCTCTCGTGAGGTTTTTGGTCCCAAACCACATGAATTGTGGCGGCCAATAAAGGGAAAGCTCATAGAGGTCGATTAATGCAAATGAGAGTTCAAATTCAAGTGTGCAAGTGTGAAAGTGTATGAAAGATGCAAGAAATGTAAGTGCAAGTGTGCGAATGTATAAAAAGGTGCATGTGTGAATTTGGATGAAAATCAAAGTGTTTGTGTGTGCAAATGAATGAAGATAGAATAGTACATATATAAGTGGAACTTGAATTTCATTTGTGAAGTAAAGTAAATAAATGATAAAGATGTAGTGAAAAATATGGATTGAGAAGTGTAAGAGAAATGTGATTAAAAGAGTATGGAAGTGATAAAAATGAAAGTATGACCCTAGGGGAATGCAACAAGTCAGGTACGGGGGTGACGCCTAATTTTCGACTTTGATTTTCCCTCGGATTAGAAGGTAAAACTAGCGTGCTAAGGCTATCGAGTAGCCACACTCGCTCGTTTCCCTTATCAAGAGGGGATTTTCACGCAGATGAACCCTAACTAGCATGAGATGCAAGTCCTAAAGTGAAGGGGAAGGGGTTTGAGGAACATACCAAATGATAAAACTAATGAAAAATGCATGATATGTGGTGATCATGCACTTAAATGAAAAAAAGGAAAAAACCTATTGGGTCTAGCATTGGACTAGCCCATCCTATGAATTCCGACTAGCGTTGGACTAGTGGAAACGATAAAAGAAGCCACAACTAGCGTTGGACTAGTGTGGTGACGTACATTCATCCATTCCATTCATCTATA